CAGTTATTACTGTCCTGGAAAATTCAATGTCATTACAACTGCAAAAAACATTTTGTGTTTCTTTCTGAAATGGAGTTCCTTTCTAAGGCTTAGATAATTATGAACATTTTTTTTCACCAATATGAATGTTGAGGAGGGCATTCAAAAGTCATTCAGATATGAGACATACTTGATGGACTGTTCTCTGAGTTTGACAAGATGTCTAGTATTCATGATCCCACCCACTAAGTGCCAGTAAGACCTTTTGCTCCCATCATCACAACCAAAAAAAATGCCTTGGATCAGCAAGATTAGGATTTCAAACTAGAAATTCTGAAAATTGTGTTTGTTTGTTTTTTTACCTAAGAAAGGAATAGATGGGGAAAGGCATTTGACTAATATAAAAAAGATAAAAAGAGATCACATGCCTCATTAAACTGCCCACTCATCAGGGCGTTGTTTCTCATCAGTAAAAGCCCACTTTAAATGCATTGAGAATTTATGTAATTTGTGATTCTTACACCAGAGTTTTTTGTTTGTTTGTTTTTTCTTGCCTCCTATGTTTCTTTTGTATCTCTGGTTTAAAAATTAGTTAATTCACAAAGATAAAAATAGGGTTCTTATTCATATCCACCAGCATGAGGCATAGTGTTTGATATATCGGTCTAGTAATAATTAATGTCGTTTTTTAACATTCGTTTAAAATCTTGCTTGGCGTTGACTTGTATTGACATAACCTTCAAACACGTGGTATCTGCAGAACGTGTGAAGTGCAATTAACAAGTTTTGCTTGAAAAAGTTTGGTTTGGTTTTTGTTGCAAAACTAGGGCTAAGAAGATGGCGGATGAAGAGCATATTCGGCACTGCATGCTTTACGAGTTCCAATTAGGAAGAAAAGCAAGTGAGGCTGCAAAAAACATCTGTAGTGCTCTTGGTCAAGATGCAGTTAGCGCCAGAAAATGCCAGCGTTGGTTTGAGAAATTTCGCGAGGGAAATTTTTCGTTAGATGACAAGAGTGGTCGAGGCAGTGTGTCCAATTTTGATCAAGAAGCTCTTCAAGCTCTTTTGGTGCAAAATCCTCAAATTACCCAACAAGAGCTTGCGACAACTTTAAATTGTTCACAAAAAACAATTTCCAATCAATTGCGTGCACTTGGCAAAGTCCAAAAGTTTGGAAAATGGGTTCCTCATGAGTTGACCTACAACAACCGTAATCAAAGAGTCACAATTTGCAGCTCGCTCCTCTCTCGTCAAAACCGTTTGCCGTTTTTAGAGCAAATTGTTACCGGAGATGAAGAATGGGTGCTGTATGTTAATTTGAAAAGGCGGCCTCAATGGTTGGACAAAAATGAGGCTCCGCAGCCCACGCCAAAACCTGACTTGCATGCGAAAAAAGTGATGTTGTGTGTTTGGTGGAATTTTAAAGGAATTCTTCATTATGAACTTTTACCATCTAACCAAACCATTACAAGTGCAGTGTATAGTGCCCAATTGGAAAGGTTAGCCCAAGCTTTAAGAGAAAAAGAACCCGCGCTGATTAATCGGAAAGGCGTAATTCTTCACCACGATAACGCATGACCGCATACTGCAAGAATCACTGCTGAAAAACTGCGCCAGTTGGAATGGGAAGTTCTCTCTCAATCTGCATATTCTCCTGATATTGCCCCTTCCGATTACCATTTGTTTCGTTCTTTGCAAAACTTTCTTCTTGGAAAAAAATTTAATAATGAAGAATGCCTCAAAAATGCATTGACCGAATTTTTTGCATCAAAATCACAAGAATTTTACAACAGAGGGATTAAAATGCTTCCTGAGCGTTGGGCACAAATAGTAGAAAACAACAGCAACTATATTGTTGATTAAATTTTGTTGTATTGTTTAAATAAATTCGATTTAAAAAAGTATTAGAAACGACATTAATTATTACTAGACCTAATACACTGTATACTTAACAAATCTTCTTTGAATGAGTGAATGGAGGTTCTTAGCATCTGCACCAGAGGGTGTGTCAGACAGGAGGAAGCAGCTGATGGGTGTGAGCACGAGGCCTTCTAAGTGCCAGCATTTGTCACCTGAGAGAATAGGGGCCAAGTGGAGAACAGCAGCTGAGACTGGAAGGGGTATTTTCCAGCCCCAAAGTCAGTAAATACTTTGGGGAGATTCAAAACTGGCCTGCTTCCTCCATCTTTATGAAGTCCCGCTCTGACTTTGATGGCATTATATTAACTTTAGATTGTAATGATGATTGCACAGTATAATGAATGTACTTAATGTGACTGAATTGTATGGTTAAAATGGTAAATTGTGTGTTAACATATTTTACTGAAGTAAGAAAAGATGGAAAAACTACATAAATCAACTAGTTAAGATGATAGAACTCAGAACAGAATCAACAATAAAAACTTTTCAGAAATAAAGACTAAAATAAATATACAAGTGTATGATAAAAATGGATAGCGCCTTAAGGGAAACATGAGAAAAGAATAAAATTTTTAAAAATCAATAAGAAGATGAAAGGAACTAGAGAAATGACAAATATAAAAATAAGCCCCAATAAAGCAGGAGAATACTGAAGAGTAGTACAAATACATAAGAGGATTTATTATACTATAAAAGTGACATAGATGTTGGAGTGTAAATAGTTCCTTTGGGAGGATTCACAGCATGGCAAAGTAGCGTCTTTAAGGGAGGAAGAAATAAGTGGATGGGGAACTTCAGGAAAAGGGTGGGTTTTCTTTGAGTGCCCTTTGTACCTTTCTAAAGTAATATGATGAGAATCTACCTCTGAAGTGTGACTGCTTGAGTTGCAACCCCAGCTCTCCCAATTGCTAGCTCTTCATCTTGGGCAAATACTTGATACTCTTCAAGCCTATCTTTTTCCTATGAAATGGGGTGAATAAGTTAGCCTGGTGCTACCTGGCACAGAATAAACTCTCAATAAATGTAAGTTGCTAGTGGAAACAACTCATAGTCCATCAAGTGATGAATGGATAAACAAATTAGATCCATTCAATAGAATGTTATATAGTCATGAAAAGGAATGAAGTGCTGACACATGCTACAGCAAGATGAACTTTGACACTGTGTTAAATGAAAGAAGCCAGACACAAAGGTCTTATATTGTGTTACTTGACATATATGAAATATCCAGAAAAGACATCTATCCAGGCAGAAAGCAATTAGTGGTTGCCAGGGGCTGGAGAGAGGTGGAAACAAGGAGTGACTGCTAATGGTTAAGGGGATTTCTTTTTGGGCTAATGAGTATGTTTTGGATTCGATAATGATGGCTGCACAAACTTATGAATGTACTAAAAGTCGCTGAATTTACAACTTAAAACTGAATTTTATATAAAGTATGTAAATTATATCTCAAAATTAGTTTTTAATGCAAATTAACAAATTACTCATGGTAATGATTAACATCTCTCTCCTTCCTCTTTTTCATTCTCTTTCATGGCCCCAGTCCTCAGTTCCTCCAGCTGCAAAACCCTTTGAACTGCCTGCATCCTACGGCTGATCCAGTGGCAAACCAGTGCACAGGCACACCTGTTACTCTCGCTCCCTGGAATGGACTCTTCCAACGGATTATTCTCCTTCGTTTCATTTGATGGTGCTGTTTAGACAAGGCAGCACGTGTGGCTCTGGTCATGGAGGAGGCCCTGGCTGGCCCCTCAAGTAAATATTTAGGCTTCTCCTCAAGTTTGATCCCTTCCACTACTAACCTCCAGATGCTGTGCTCTGAAAGTCAGGTTGGGTACCTAAAGACACTTGTAAATACTGAGGACTTTGGGGACAAGCCTCCAATCTAGACTTTGCTCTACCACATGCAGTGTGACCTCAGCCCATTGCTGAACCTCACGACTAAAGTGGCACAGTGATACTGGTCTTGAATGTTGTACATGTGGGTCAGGTACATAGGTGCTGAGTAAGTGGGAATTTATATCTCATGCCCTATTCTGGGTGGCCTCCTACTGCAGTAGTTCACTTGGCTAGTTTTGAGCTACCCCAGGATAACTCTTAAGCCCTGTCACTCATCAGGTAGGTTCCACTGATTTGTACTTACCTTCCAACTATAATCAGACCTGGTAAGGCAACCCAAACCTTTTGGAAATGTGCCCAGTACCTGTTTTCTAAAATAATTATCTACTGGTTATGAGACATAAGGCCAGCCTCCACAAGAGACTTTTTCTATTTCTCCTGATCAACCTAGACTCATCTGCCATTTTCATCCATCTCTCCCCTTTTAGCCTACTGGCCATGGACAAAGTTCCTTCCTATTTCCTCAGTTCTTACCCCTTATTCCTCATTTACTCATCCAACTACCAAATCTCATGCAGCTTTTGGTTCCCAACCCCACCAAGGAAAACCACAGTTAGCAACATCTCAAAACTCAGAGGGCTTCTTTACTACACATCTTCTAATTCTATTATATTTACTAATTCGATTTTATTAAGATTTAAATACATCAGAATACAGAAATTTGTGTTTATCTACTATGGGGAAAATGTAGGCATAAGTACTCGTAGTGTCTCATCTCTTGCACAGCCGCAGTAATAAGACATTTCCATTTCTTTTTTCTTTTTTTAAAATATATTTTATTGATTTTGTACAGAGAGGAAGGGGAGAGATAGTTAGAAAACATCGATGAGAGAGAGTCATCGATCAGCTGCCTCTTGCACACCCCCTACTGGGGATATGCCCACCCTTGACCGGAATTGAACCCGGGACCTTTCAGTCCCCAAGCCGATGCTCTGTCCACTGAGCCAAACTGGTTTCGGCGGACACTTCCAGTGCTTTTCCCCTCAATGAAATGCTGCACTTCCTCCAAAGAGCATTTGGCAGCATTCTCCCCCTCTAGTTGAGCTTTCCTCTTCGTGGCCTTCCACTCTGGCCTCTGCTCGTTTGTGAAGGGCATTGATATTACTGGACCAGAAACATTGGGATTCCTCCATGAATTCCTTGACAGGCAGAACCCTGCAGTAGATGCTGGTTTTGAGGTTTTGGCAGAGTCCAGGGCTGCTTCACAGAAATGTGACTGGATCCCCTTGGAAAGAAGTGCGAGTGGATGTTTTATAGAGCACAGGCCTAGAAGCATCACACTGGGGGACACTAGGCCAGATAGGGTTGGTCCAACCTAGTCTGGCTACGTTGGTTGAAATTGGCAGAGCTGGTCTGGCAGGATCTGTCATAGATGCTGGAGTTGGCTGGGATGAATTGACTGCCTTAGGTTGAGCTGACTTTGAACCAGGCTGGGCAAGATTGGTTGAAGCTGGCAGAACTGGTCTGGTAGAACCTATGATAGATGCTGGGGTTGGCTTGGATGAATTCACAGCAGTAGGTTGAGCTGACTTAGAACCAGGCTGCGCTGGGTTGGCCCCAGCAGGCCGACATGATACCAGAGACAACGGCCTGCGAGGAACAGGTCAAGCTTGAGGCTTGTCCAAAGTTGGAAATATCAGAGGTACCAACTTGACCTTCCCTGGAGGTGGCAGCTCATATTCAGATGGAGATGAACACTCCTTTTCTGCACTGCCTTCTGGTTTCTGGCATTTGACTTGAGTTTCCTCAGGACCTTTGCCCTCACATGGGGTATCCAGCCATTGTTTGATAGCTGGGGATGGCTGGGGGCCTTTGGGGTTGCTTGAGTTTCCCAGTGCCCTGGAGGAAGAGAGTTCAGTTCTCTCATCAGTCTTCTTCCTCAGGGCCTGAAATTCCACAGACTCCAGCATATGCACCCCTAGGGAGCTTCGGGGCGCTTTGAAGGTCTCTTGTGTCAGCTCAGGTTGGTTTTTCTTCCTCTTCATTTTTGGGATGGTTGGCTTCTCCTCTGCCTTGACATTGTTCCTTACTCTCTTCAGTTTCCTTCGGGTTGTTTTCTTTGATTCTTTTGGTCTTTTCTTGCCCATGGCTCTTGGTTTTGCTGGTCCTGCTGGGGGCAGTTTTCTGAGTTTTGTTGGAATTCTTGGCCCTGTTTTCAGGAGCCCTGTCATTGGCTGCCGCATTGGAAACAGCCACTTCTCCCACGAACATGCAATCTGGGCTCTCACGCTGGATTTTGGCCATGGGCTCACCACTGATCAGCTCAGATGCTTTATGTTTGTTCCTCCTTGCTTGATCAGAGGGAGCATTAATGACACTTGACTGTTTCTGCACCTCATCCAAACTGATGGCTCTGCCATCTTTGGTTTTGATCACCTTGGGACCTTTGGATTGATCATGTTCATCCAAGGAATTTAAGAGCAGTGGGAGGTGAGTATCCTCCACCAGTGTTGCAATGTCTGCAAAGCCATCATTGGATTCAATCCCATTTTCAAGTGTCCCCTGGTCCTTTAGACCCAGGCTGCTCTTTCCCAGACCAGTGTTCTCACAACGAGGTGGCTCCTCCTGGCCTAGGGGATCAATGCATGCCAGGAGCTGGGGAATGTTTGGGATTTCTAAAGGGAGCAGTGGAGGATCTTGGTTTTCTGTGGGGATCTGGTAAGCATCCAGAGGCTTTGAAAGCATGGTTGTAATATCCTCCAGATTCCTGTTCTCTTTCTGTTCCTGGCTTGGAGCTGGAGGCAGTGCCAGGTAAATGCTAGGACTCTGGACTGGAGCTGCCATTGAAATGTCCCCAAGCTCAGGTGATGGGTTACTGTCAAGTATTTGGATATTGCTGCCACTAAAAGACTTGGGGAATTCTGGAGTTTGTGGAAGACAAAATGTTTGGCTTAGAGGTTGCAATCCAAGGGAAGTCTCCATCCCCAGGGAAGTCTCCATCACTTCAAATGAATCAAGGAGAAGCCAGTCAGTCCCTGGGCACCACCTGTGGGTGCTCCCCTGTCACCACCAATGCAGCAATCATGCCCCTTCCAACAATGGGAACAGCATTCCTACCAGCTCTTAAGGGTTGTGGAGTTCCCTGTGCTAGGAGCCAGGAGGCAACCGTTCTAGTTCTCACGGGGATCATTTGATGTCATTGTTCCATGGCATTCTGTATATTTGACAGGGTTGTGATAAGTCAAATAAAAAATGATTTAAAATATTTCACAGTTCTGAGCGGTTTGGCTCAGTGGATGGATTGTCGGCCTGTGGACTCAAGAGTACCAGGTTCGATTCAGGTCAAGGGCAGGTACTGTGATTTCGGGCACATACCCGGTGGGGAGTGTGTAGGAGACAGCTGATCGATATTTTTCTCTCATCGATGTTTCCAGTTCTCTATCCCTCTCCATCCTCTCTCTGGAAAATAATATATATATATTTTAAAATAATAATAAAAAATAAAATATTTTACAAAGCTAGCATTGTACATATGGAGTCCTTGTAGTTCTCTCCCCTTTCCTGAGAAAATAACAACACACAATGGAGTAGGGGAGGAAATGGGAGTTCTTCCTGATTAAATAAGTGAGGGCAGATTTTTAGCCTGCTTGCTTTGACATGATCATGGAACACAAGGTCTTCAAACCTGGCATGAATTAAGGAGTGAGGGAAGGTTGAACTGGCACTATCACAGTAGGAGTTCTGAAATTCCTTCTAAAGAAACTGAAGCAATAAATCGAGAGTCCGTGAAACTGTGGCAGTAGAGGGAGACTAGTCAGGTAGGGGAGTGAACAGTGTGGGACCCCTTTGTATGCTCTTGGGTTCTCATACATATAGCATACATGGCCAATCCAATGTCCACCTTCCCATCTCTATGAGGTGTTCCCATAGAGTCTGAAAATGGGGAGCACTGACTGAGGGTGGCAGTTACAAAGGATTTAAAGTCTGCCTGTCTGTGGACTCACTACTTCCCAGGTGTAGACTGACCCGAGTTTTCTAATGGTGACCCTATTCTTGCTGTTTGAACTCACTTTGAAAACTTGTCTCTGTGATGGGCTGAGCAGGCACAGAGTAGATTGCAGAGGTGGAGGCAGGTGGTATCACATTTGTGGGCTGGACCTCCTTTAGTACTATGACCATTTCAGGTTGATTTATGAAATCAATAAAATACATTTTAGAAAAACCCAACAGCTTCTGGTTGTGAGTGCTGGAACAGTTTGCTACGTTTCTGTATTAACCGCCTGTGCTCCCAATGTGGGCAAAAATGTGCAGGAGTGGTGTGGTTCACACATTCTCTAGAGTAGAGGCAATCACTCCCTGTCCTATCATTCCCTTGTGTCTGCACTAATATTGATTTGTGTGCTCTTGCCTAGAATGGAAGCATTTTAGAACCAGGATTCTTTAGGGAACCTGTGTTCTACCATTCTCACTTTATGAGTGTGAACTAAGGCTCAGATAGACTTGTTCAAGTGCTCTCATTGTGTTAGCATTATTGCCGTGTTACATAACCTAAGCATCCTGGCTCCCTTACTCAGGCTCTGCTCTGAGCATTACACTGCCACAAACTGGGAGCAATAGGGCTTCTAATACAGATGAGGGCGGTTTTGTCCATGGAAGGCAGGACAGCTATTGCCATTGTAATCTTCAGTTCACATACTATTCTCTGGAACTCACATGTAGCTCAGTGCAGTTGGTAAATTTGAAGTGTCATTCTTACCGTCTTTATGTCTGGTTTCTGATTTTACCACAAAATGACTATCTGAAAGTGAATTTATCAGGAAGTGCTTTATAACAGAAAAACATTAAAATTCTCTGAGCTTTGGGCTACTTGTGTATGAAGTCATAATAACTAATAATTCATGTATGAGTAAATGTATTACATATATAGAGAGAACAAGATATAAGTTCTGGAAAGACAATGAAAAATGTTGGACAATATATCACAGAACTAAAAACATGGACATAAATGAAAATGGGAAGGTAGGAACCATCAAAGCATTCTCTATTATTTAATAATAGAAGCATTCTCTAAAATTTAATAAATGAAGTTCTGTTTTCTGTATGCAATATTATTCAAGTAAATATTGCTTATTCTATTTTTGGGAATACTATTAACCAAAAACCAGCCCACAATAGGTGGTGACTTTGCATTAATTCCTAACCATTACATGTGGTCAGAGAAGATATATCACTAAAAATTTCATAACAAGTAATAAAATGCAATAAATGTGGAGGTTTTAGGTAACCTTAATAGATAGATAGATAGATAGATAAAACATTAAAAACTAGTATAAAGCCCTAACCAGTTTGGCTCAGTGGATAGAGTGTCGGCCTGCAGATTGAAAGTTCCCAGGTTTGATCCAGTCAAGGGCATGTACCTTGGTTGTGGGCACACCCCCAGTGGGGGGTGTGCAGGAAGCAGCTGATTAATGTTTCTCTCTCAATGTTTCTCACACTCTATTCTCCTCTGTTAAAAAAAAAAAAAAAAAGAATAAAATGCAATTTAAAAAAAAAATAGTATAAAGCAGAGAGCAATCCTATATGATAAAAGTCTAATATGCTAAGTGTCCAGTCATCCATTCGGCCATTCAATCAATCAAAGCACTATATGCTAATGATATGCTAAGGCTGGTTGACAAGACGCTATGATGTGCATTGACCACCAGGGGGCAGATGCTCTGACCGGTAGGTTAGCTTGCTGCTGGGGTCTGGCAGATCAGGACTAAGTGATCCAGGCTGGACATGCCCTGGAGCCCTCTATGGACCCTCCCCAGCTGGTCAATCTCCCTTGTCCCTCCCCAGCCCCAATCATGGGGTCTTTTGACCTGGCCTGTGCCCCCTCACAATCAGGGACCCCTTAGAGCACATGTGTCAAACACAAGGCCCGAGGGCCAAATCCGTCCCGCCAGGCCTTGCAATGTGGCCCGCACCGCGCTGTCATCACTGCACTCCGCTGCGTTTCCATCACAATGACAGTTTATGACTGTTCAGTAAACCATTCGGCTCTCGATTTAGGCTGGATTTTAGATTTTGGCCCCTTCACTGATTGAGTTCGACACCCCTACCTTAGAGGATGTCAGAGAACCAGTTTCGGCCCAATCCCACAAGCCAGGCCAAGGGACCCTACTGGTGCACGAATTTATGCACCAGGCCTCTAGTATAAATATAAGGAATTCTATTATTGTGCTCATTCATGTTTTTCTGAACATTACCCAGCAAGTAACAGGTATTAAATCTATTAATAGTAGAAATGTACATTTTAATTAATATAATCACATAATAAGTATTTTGAAAGTTTATATGTTTATCTTAAAACTTATAATCATCAACATGCAGGAAAGTGTACCCAAAGCCTTAAAAACTGTAATTGATGGAATCCAATCTATCCTATCTAATAAGAGTAATATGCAAATCAACCACTCCACTACACCCACAAGCCACACCCACCAGCCAATCAGAGAAAGTATGCAAATTAACCTCAATCAAGATGGCTGCAGCCACATGGAACAGGAGAGAGGCTTGGGTTTCCGTGGCAATGGAGGAAGCCAAGCTTTCCGCACACCCTGGCCAGCCCAGGCCTTGACTCCAGGCTACAAAGTTTCAATTATAGAAGATGCATAAATTCCAACAGAAATGGCTACACCCAAGGAGCAAGCAGGAGGCTTGTCTCCGCTCCAGGCTATAAAGTTTTAATTGTAGAAGATAAATAAATACCAGGGCCTCCCCTTTGGTTGCTGGGGGGCGTGGTTGGCCTACAAACCACCACAGGCCCCTTGCCCAGGCTACCCATACCCCAAGGGAAGCCCCACCCTGATCCAGGACACTCTTCAGGGCAAACCAGCTGGCCCCCACCCATGCACCAGGCCTTCCTATCTAATAAAAGAGTAATATGCAGATTGACCATCACTCCAACACACAAGATGGCTGTCCCCATGTGCACAAAGATCCTGCCCCCATGTGGACACAAGATGACTAGCAAAGGAGGGCAGTTGGGAGAAACCAGGCCTGCAAGAGAGGGCAGTTGGGGGCAATCAACCCTGCAGGGGAGGGCAGTTAGGGATGACCAGGCTGGCAGAGGAGGGAAGTTGGGGACAAACAGGCATCAATCAGGCTGGCATGGGAGCCGTTAGGGGGTGATAAGGTTGGCAGGCAGAAGCAGTTAGGGGCAATCAGGAAGGCAGGCAGGCGAGCAGTTGTAAGCTAGCAGTTGTGGATTTGTGAGAGGGATTTATTTATTAACCCTGCCCATTTAGGGTTGCCTATCTATCTATCTACCTATATCTATATCTATATAAATATGTTTTCTCTGTGTTTCTATTGAAATGCATTCCAGAAGTCTTTCTTTCATTTTCTATATGGGTGTCTTTATGACAGCATTAGGAAAGAAAGGGAATAGAACAACCAATCTGAAATCCTAATGTAACAGATGGGGAAGACCATCTGTGAGAGAGTCAATGACTTGTCCAAAGTCACATAACTAGTAAGTGTCAAAATCAAAAGTGATATTAGGTCTCTAGTTTTCTAGATCAATACTTCCTTTCTTTATTCTATGCTATTTGGATTCTACTGCTAAATTTAGGGGCAAAAATATCTAATGAGAAACTTTTAAAAGTTTCTTTCCTTACCTGACATGGTCAGAGAAGAGGAGGAAATATTAACTGTAGATGCAAGGGATGAGGATGTCTGAGTGGCTGAAGTCAAAGAGTGTGTGTGTCCGGTCAGAAGGTTACTGGTCACACTGGTCACTGGTCAGTTGTGATCTTCCAAATGTGTTTACTGAGGCTCCATGGAAACCCAGAATTCTAGGAGGTGATGATAGGTTTGGAGGAGAATGATGTCACACAGCAGGCAGTTTAAATGGATGTGAGAGCCAATAGAGAGGCCAGATTCCCAACAAGGAGACAAAATTGGATGGAGGGAGCAGAAGGGGAGCTAAACCAACCCCTAAATGGCTGAGTTCT